CTGATAACGATTGATAAGGGCCGATAAGGCGCGCCAGAACGCTGAAGTCGTCGATTCCGTTGCCTGGCTCGCCTTGACACCAGAGCAACCATACTTACAAGTGTTATGTGGGGTGGGACGGGGACATTGTTGGTGGGTGCCAGAAACTGATAACGATTGATAAGGGCCGATAAGGCGCGCCAGAACGCTGAAGTCGTCGATTCCGTTGCCTGGCTCGCCTTGACACCAGAGCAACCATACTTACAAGTGTTATGTGGGGTGGGACGGGGACATTGTTGGTGGGTGCCAGAAACTGATAACGATTGATAAGGGCCGATAAGGCGCGTCAGAACGCAAAAGTCGTCAATTCCGTTACGCAGCGTTGACACTAGAGCGTTCCTACTTACAAATTGTAGTAAGTCGTAGTAGTACAAACAAAGGTACGTGCACATTATTTCGATATATATGTCCAGCTTACTTAATAGAATTCGACTGCATAAATTTTAAAAAACAAGTCTTCAGCGAATGATAAGTTTCATTTCTGACTATTAAGAAAACCCAAACTCATTAAACCGCTAATCCTTTCGTGGTTCTAAATAATGATGAATGTAAATGAATGATAAGCATTAGCTCCTCACTTATGTAAATAGGCATATTTCGTTTTGATTTTGAGACTGACAGCAATCCTATTCACCGCTAAATTATCTTAATTCAAGAAAAATGCTGGATGTTTACAGTTGTGAGATAAATATACCAGTTCAGCTCAGACGTTATCACGCGTATTCTCGATGAGCTTCAGTGAAACTGTGGAGGGTCTAACACAGTCAATAGTGAGATGGTTAATGGAGTATCTCATGCTGATATTCCATGGGTCCTCCAATTTCGCTAAAGCCTGCCGTGTGATGCGCGCGATAGCGGGCGAAGCAAAACTGGTATAGATAATAAATAACTTAACTACTTCCAACGAAAGTATCTGCATGTACAATATTTTTACCTGTGTAGCGGCAGGTGATGGCAGGATTAGCCTGTCTTCAAGAGGATGGGGGAACCGGTTTTAAAAATAACAATGGCGCTTTCGCCAAATACAACCCTCCTTTAAAAAACCCTATAAATACGGAACTCCTTGCCATCTCCACGGATGGTTGTTCTTACCTGAAAAAGCGCTTCTGACGCCATTAAGACTCATTCTGAATTCTGGTCTGGAATTTGAACTAATCGCCGATATTTGCCAAGTGGAGGTTATTCTCAGATTTCGGACACCGGTTTGGTGACGATTGCGGGTGGAAAATGGACAACGTACAGGCACATGGCTGAGGAAACAATGGACGCTTGTATAAAGGTGAGAAGTCAGTACATATCTAATCGTAAGTCTAGTGGCTGAGCGACACGGACGAGTTGTCCAGGCCGCAGTAGGATGGGGCAATTGCGGCCCGCGCGCTCTAATGGCAATGGAATCGCGTCATATGACCGCCTCCCACGTTGCCGCAATTGTGGCGCACTCTTCTCACAGCATCACGTGGAAGCAGACATCGGGAAGGGGCATGCGGGCGAAAGTGTCCATTGCGGTCCAAGGAAATGCTAGCGCAGGCGTGTCTAGACCCGGAGCGTGCCTTTAATGATCAAGATATTAGGTATGGGGATCTCATGGAGGAAAAGCAGTAGGTAGTGAACCGAAAAAAGAGCGCATGGGGTCAACATTTCAAAAAAAGGAAATGGGAAATAGATCGAACAAAATGTGTTCCCTAGAAGAGATCAAGACGGTGCTGTGATATTCGCTCTATTGCAGAGGCTTTTTATTTACCTGCTTCCCTAAGTCGAAAAGCTCCAGCAAATTGCCATTTCTTCCAAACTCACTTCTATAATATGATTTCTAGCTATGCTTTTCGTGTCCTTCTTGTTTGGGTCACGTACAAGTGGTCGCAATCCTGACCATGCGCTCATCACGTCACCACGTCGGATGGATACACTTTTCGACAGATATCCACGGATCTCCTGAATACGGATGTGTAAAATTGATTGAGAAAAGAGAAAATGGGTAGCACGTACTACAAAAATGCCACCAGAAATTTCAGCTAAAAGGCAAAATTATAATGGAAAGGAAAAGTTAGCTCGTTGGAAATAAGGGTAGAGGTGGTCAGTGGAGCAGGGATGAAGAAGAAACCATTGAAACCCGAGAAATGGGACCCCTTCCTTGCCCGTTGATTTGCGCATTGATGCGACTCTCATCGCTGTGCCCTCTTCAACACTACGCTCTCTCTGCTATCTAATCACTCGCCACGTATAGACCTGCGGCGAGTGATTAGATAGTCGGTGGGCGTACCCCGCCAACCGCGCCAAGAGTGAGCCATGCTAGATCGCCGAGGTCAAATCTTTCGCTGCCAATTGCGCGTCGGTCAGCACCCTCAGGAGGTCCGCCTGTCTCCCAACTATGCAATTTTCCCCTTCTTTGACCTTCGTTCTTATCGTGAATTCCTCCTTTAAACGTAGCTATAAGAGGTGGTTCATTTGATTGAAGTCAGCG